ATATTTGAGTATGCTGCGAAAGAATACACCACTATGGTTGCTGAGATTATAAACAAGCGGATGTGGAATGGAGCTATGGGGCTGGATGATGTGATGATCGTGGACAAAGATTGACTTCAAGCTAGCACCAAACCAAGGGGGAGATTGAAGGGTCTAATTAGTGGTTTGGTCTAGGCTTTCTATGTAATAGGTTCTTTTGAGTCAATTTATAGCTTTTGGTAGATTGTGTGTAGTTTACGGCCCAACAATGAGTTTACGGCCGTAAGCCTGTTTACGGCTGTAAACCCAAGGCCGGCCCAGGTCCAGTATATATAGAGGTGTGCTAGGTCTTTTTTCAGTTGTTGATGCCACAGAGTTCACGGCTGCTATTACCACAAGTTGTACCAGACGTTATTTCTAATAGAAAGCGTGTGCAAGCTTGTTATCATTCTTGTTTCTACTTGTTCTTTATTGTTATTAACTGTGTTTGCTATTTGATTACTGGTAAGATCCGTTTCAGGACCTTACAGTTGGATGCCCCAAACTCGTCGAGTAGGAACGAAATTTGGACGCGGGATGCGAAGTCTACTCGACGAGTTGAGAGCCTCAACTCGACAAGTAGGACTGCCAGAGTGAAACCCTAATTTTCAGGGTTTTGCACCCTATTTAAAGGACTTAATCCTTTCCCTCAACCCTCCATCAGCCTCCTTGAAACCCTAAATCGCATTGTGAGCTCTTTAGTGAGAAACTTGAAGTTTTGAGTGGATTTATGTGTGTTTTTGTGCTTGGTGAAGGAGTTGGAAGAACTAGAAGTCATCAAGCTTGAAGAGGAGCAGTAGAATCTGGGATTTCGTCCATCTTTGGCAGCATTTTGAGATAAAAAGTCCTCACCTTGATGATTCATAGCTTAGATCTCTTTTAGTTTTGCTTTATGGGTCTTTTAGACCCCATTGTGGGAATCATGATACCCTTCATAGATCTTATGCTAAGGATTCCCATTTCCAGTGTTATTTGGCCTTTAGAATCATAAAAAGGGTCTTAAACCCGTCCTTGTCCAAGAAAAGGCCATGTCCATGAAATTAGGTTGCTATATCTCGAGTTTGGGTTTACTTGAGGCATGCAAAGCCATCAAGTTGTCAACTTTACAGAAATGGATTATGGAAACAATATGGATCTGTATTATGGAACCTTAGATATGAGAAAAGGACTGAATAGACTAGAAATGCAAGGGACTTGGCGATTTCATATAGGAACTCGACGAGTTTGGCCGAACGTTCCCGACTATGTCCATGGAACTCGACGATTCCATAAGGGAACTCGATGAGTTGTGTTAGGAAGTCTCGTTTCTGTTAAGAAAGAGGAACTCGGCGAGTTGGAGGAAAACTTGACGAGTTGGATCGTGATTTAAAAAGATTATGATTTTCGGAACTCGACAAGTTGATGGACCAAATCGGCGAGCTGAGTCAACTCAGAAGGTTGACTTTGACCAAAAGGTTGACTTTAACTTGGACTTTGACCAAGGTTGACCCTTGGGGGGGGGGGGGGGTATGAGTATGAAAGGGTAATTAAAGGAGGTTTTTATGTGTAGGAGTTTGAGTGGAGTTGATTCCGGAGCCGAGGGCAGTTCAGCTACTTCATGACATTTGAGGTGAGTTACCTTCCAGTAGAAGTGGGTCTAAGGCACCAATGTCGGACCACTAGTAGGAGATATAGTAGAGATGATTGTCTTTGTGATAACTGTCTGGTATGCCACTATCTGTTATTCTTTATGTGCTAGTATGCTATGATATTATGTGATAGTGGTAGGAGGGGTAGGACAGACACCGTTACCGGTCGAAAGGACCGAAGGGGTAGGCCAGCACCCTGATATTCTAGGCAGTATGTGATTTATGTGTTTATTTATTAGAATGATATATGGCAGTAGTAGGGGTGACATAGTCCCCGTTACCGGTCGAAAGGACCGAAGGGGTAGGCCAGCACCCTGATATGCTAGGCAGTTACCGGTTGATAGAGACCGAAGGGGTAGGCCATCACCCTGATATGCTAGGCAGTTACCGGTTGAAAGAGACCGAAGGGGTAGGCCAGCACTCTGATATGCTAGGCAGTTACCGGTTGAAAGAGACCGAAGGGGTAGGCCAGCACCCGGATATGCTAGGCAGTATGTGTATTGTATGATATGTGGTATGATGGGGGAACTCACTAAACTTTGTGCTTACGGTTTATAGTTTTGGTTTCAGGTACTTCCTCTTCGAAGGTAAAGGAGCCGACATGATCACAACGCATCACACTACATTTTCCGCACATGAGATTCTTGGGAGTTATACTCTGATGTTGTTTTATCATGACATGATTTGATTATTGATACATTGGTTTTGGATATGAATTGTTCTATGATGTTTTTAGACAAATGGTTTTATAATTATTAAATTAAAAATGAAATTTTTGGTCTTGAATTTTAGGATGTTACACAAAAATCACCATTTTTCCACTAGGGCTTCTTAAGGCTACATCTTTATACTCCAAGGACCCAAAATGACATATTTAAATACCAAATGAAGAATTTAATAATACTTGAAAGCTCGGGATGTTACATATATAATAACCGCACTAAATCCTAATACATTTTCTTTTTTATGTATGAGAGTTTCTATATGTTTTAAGCCAACTAACCGATAGCCTATCATATAAGACACCATTCATTCCATATGACAGGTATTCGAGTCTTGTAGGTTTCAATTAGGAATTGATTAGAATAAGATATGCAGTGTATTTAGGTGTTTTAGCATATCGTCCACTGTGGCTTCCCCATAAACATATGACGTTCGCCCGACTTCCCCATCCCCATAGGTTGGGCCTATTTTTAGTCCATAATTTCATTATTGCAAACCACATGTTACATGTTAAAGACATGAAGTTGTCTCGAGAAATTTCGAATGTGCATTGAATAAAAAAAAAAGAATTATTAAAGAGACAAAAACAAGATGGAAAATCAAGATTTTTTTACGAAGTTCGAAATTTCGAGCTACCTTTTCTAGAAAAAATGTTCAAAAATCATAATTGAGTTTGAAAAATAAAGAAAAGAAATTTCACCGGATCATTTTATGTTAGGAATTAGAATAAAAAATCTGACTTGAGTTCGAAGATTCTAAACAAAACAAATCGTGTAAAAAACCAATTTGCAAAAGAATTAATTCTGTTCGACAAACTCTATTTTAGAATAAATTTTAAAAAATTTACTCCTTATAAAAAATCCTGAGTTTTATTAGATCTATTTTAGCATTGATTTTTGAGACAATAAATGATAAATGAGAATTATCTTGGCACTTTATACAATTAAGTTATAGTTAATTAATATTTTGTACATGTTAGAAATATGTCCATGAGACAACATGTCGGTAACACAAATTGGTTTACATGTGTTACTATGAGTTACATATTTAACCAAAGATGAAAGCAAAAACAAATAAAGAAAGAGGGAACTAATTTTGATTCTCTTTTGATTTGGATTGTATGTTTCATACAATCAAAATCATGAAGTGTGGTTATATGTTTATGTTTTAAGGAAAATATATTGACATCGTAACATATAAAAAATGATTGTTTCGTATATTACTTTTTACAATCCTTATCAAAATAATGTTTTTTTTTTTTTTTTTTTGTATCGGTCCGATAACTCATTGCCTCATATTATGACCTACGTTTGCGATGTTTTGGGTTGTGTGGACTTTTTAAATTAGTTTAATCTTGACTTAAATGCCATTTCTTTATTTGTTTGTAATGTATTTTTCCATGCAATCATTATAAATAATAGGTTAGATAGGAAAGTGTATTATATTTATATTGAAAATAAATGAAGAGAAAAATCAACCAAGCAAGGAGCCATATTGAATGGAGTCTTGATGGAGACATCATGAAGTTCCATTGGAACACCAAGTGTTAAGTGTAGACGAAAGCAAGTGGGAGCATACATCTTTATAGTTGTAAGTCCCTAGAATGACATTGTTTCTTCATGTGATGGGTCACCGGAGAAATGCATATACCGAGGTTAATTCAGACTTTAGTTGAAAATTATATGATTTTTTACGGATAAAATCCAATTTCAAAAGTTTTGGATATCCAATCCAAACACTGAGGGAGAGGATTATTGGACCCGTATATTTAAAAGTCTGGAACGGATAGGATTTCGGAAATTCCAAAAAAACAAAATGGTTTTGTATGCACCTCTAATGTGGAAAAGTATATCCTTTTTTCTGCATGCATTTACATTAAACATAAGAGCTCAATACTAGTCATTGCCATATATATGTGTAACTTGTTTAAGTAGATCATTAAGTTGCATAAGAGTTCAAAAAAATTCCAACATCTACAGAAGAATTGTATATCCCTACTAATACAAGTCTTCATGCAATGAGCTTTAAAAATGGCTCTAAAAAGAGAATGAAAAAAAACTTTTGAAATTGAGTGGTTATATGCGTAGAAAAATGTTTCTTAACATTTTAAGGATAATGACACTGTAGTACAATGAAGTTTTGGGTTTGGTCCGATTTGGCCATTTATGTTACTTTTTTGCGCAATAGGTCATCGAACTTTTACTGTACATGTCAATTAAGCTATTATCGTTAGTTTTTAACTATTTCTCCGTTAACCAGTTGTTCTAAATTACACGAATGACCCCTATGGTTAAATATTTATTTGTAATTGGTCCTAAAAGTAGAAAAATTCATCATTTTTTTTAAATCTTACATCTGCAGTAAATGACAAAATTCCCCTTCTTCTCAATGCATGTTTTGTGAGACGATATTAAACCATGTTGGTACAGTGAGGCCGGACTCAAAGGTGCCGACGACATGGGTAACAGAGTAAGTTCAATCCACTAAAAAAATCATTAAAATCAACAAACTTTTCACATCACAATCGTTCACTTCTAAAAATTTCCCAAATTAATCTAATCCAACAAAGATTTCAGTAACCCATTTAATATCTTGGAATCACTATTCGGCTTGGGCGGCATGGGCGGTGGAATGGGCGGTCGGAGCTCCCGGAACATGGACACGGAAGGTGAAGATCAAGGCTACAACCTCATTCTAAAATTCAAAGAAGCTATATTCGGAATCGAAAAAGAAATCAAAATATAAAAACTCGACACTTGTCAAACTTGCAAAGGATCGACGCCAAACCCAGAACCACTAGTTCTCGCTGCTCCCCATGTGGTGGTCAAGGCCAAGTCATATCCTCCGCCAGAACTCTCATCGTCATCTTCTAACAAGTCACCACCTGCTCCTTGCTCCTCCTATAAAGGAACTGGAGAAATCTCAACTCCCTGCACCACATGCTCCGGCGAAGGGTGAGTCCGAAAGTCAAAACGAATCAGCCTCAAAGTCTGTCACAACTAGCATTTTAGCTAGGAAATTCTATTCTCATGAAAACATTCATCTAGTGTAATAACTTGTACTCTAAATGAATATCATACTCTATACTCATTCAAATACATCTCATATGTTCAATTAAGGGTTGGAAACCCTAGAAATCCCGGTTCCAGTTTTATATGAGCTAGGATTCTCCTAATTGGGCCCTAAGTTGACCCACATTCCTAAGATTTTAGCATTATGGGTCATGTGGGCCTAGAATGAACCTTCTTATTTCTAATGGGCCGTGAACTTTTTTTGGGCTTCATTGGGCCGTGAACCCTCATAAGGGCCCAATGGGCCGAAAAATAATTTTTGGGCTTCATGAATTCAAACAATTCAAGTAAAGGCTCAAATCTCCTCAATTTCTTTCTTCCTAGCTCAAATCTCGGCCCAACCCACATTATGCATATAAACAAACAAAAGAAGAAATGAAGGATTTATTTGGCTTTAACACCTCATGTTTGCATGGTGGGTATCTATGCAAACATCACTTCAAATTTTCTCTTCCCCCTCTTCTTATTACCCTCGGTCGAACCCTCATCCCTCACCATCTCATTTTCTTTCAAAAACCTCTCAAGAAATCTCTCAAGAACACCTCCTTCCTCCTCTTAGTTTTCGAGTTTTTGTGTGTGTCTTCAAGAGGGTTTTTCATCAAGATCATCATCCTAGGTAAGATCTTACCAACCTAAGTTGATTTACTACATCTTTACACTTAAATCACTTCTCTTACACCTATGTTTTTGTGGATCATGTTCCTTAGAACCATCCAAGTTCGAAATCCTTCTCAAGAAGCTTCTTAGGGCCGAGATCTACTCATTTTACCACCAAGAACCGAAAACATCAAAGCAAAGAGAGTTCATACCCCTTGTTTTTCGGTTTTACTTGGTTTTTGGGGGAGAATACAAGTTGCTATGTGTTAGATCTATGTATTTGTGCATGTTTATGTGTGTTTTCTAAGTGTATGTTGTGATTGTGTAAAGAACTTCATAGATCTAGTCAATATTTGGAAACTACAACACTTTATACAACTTACCATAAGGATAAATGTGCTAAACATGTGAAGATTCATAAGAAACTAAACAAAATCTTGAAAAATGGCCATTTTTGACAAATAACCAAAAAGATGAGACTTTCTTGGCATTTACGGTTTTACAAGGACTAAAGGAGTCATTTTTATAAAAGAAATGGGTTTTTACGATATTTTGGTGACAAAGGGGCCAAAAAACGTAAATTTTTGCATAATGGGCCTTAAAAATGGGCTTTTCGGTTTTAATGGGCCAAAGTTGTAAAAATTCTGATTTTCATGGATTAAATTGCTATTTTACACAAGTTTGAGGCTAAAATGTAAAACTTACGGTTTTATGGGTTGAAAATGCCACACTATTTGGATTTGGGCTAAAAATGCAAATTTTTCCAAAACTTGGGCCGAAAATGCCATTTTTATCAAAAATGGGCTGAAAATGTAAATTTTGGTAAAATTGGGCCAAAAACAATATTTTATATATATTTGGACCAAAAATGTCAATTTCTATAGAAATGGGCCTAAAATAATATTTAATATGTGTTTGGGGCCATAAAAGCAAATTTCGTGATATTGGGTCTATTATATCCATTACATGTCCATTTAGGCCTTTGTGGCCCGTTCACATGTTTGTTGGGCCTAATATGATTACCACATGTTAATTTGGGCCTTTGTGACCCATTAACATGCTTAATGGGCCCAATCTATACATCACATGCTTAGTGGGCCATAACTGCTCCCTTACATGTCTGATGGGCCTTATACATTCATATACCTATTTTCTGGGCTTTGCAAATCTTAACTATATATACGAAAACATTATACATAGCGTAATTCAATACTCGTGTGAAAACAATAAATGATCTAGTGAGACTTGTCGGTTGATACCTCTAGAGTGTATGATCGTAGCCTGTAGTTATAACCAGAATCTCTTGGAGGTAGAGCGAGAGTTTGTGTATAGATCTATACGGGGTGACTCCTCACACCTGAGTTGTTCGCTACAGCTAAACTAGGCCAGTCTAGGGCGACAAACCTTACCGTAAATCAAGTCGGCGCCTAAGAACGCCACGACAGGCGAACTCGTCAAAAATTAAGTATGGTTAAAACGGCTCACTTAGAAATCTTCTCCAACATAATTTTATAGAATATCTATAAAATCTCGTGGATACAAAAACATACATATACTGTCATTCGGTATTGGGGTTGAGACCACAACACTTTTATAAACAGAAAATATCGGATTTTCTGTGGTATTAACTGTTAAACAATATCTTTTACGTACTACAGAAAATACAAGGTTTTTATCTGGATTACATTTTTTTTATATACATTCCAAATATAGAAAACACACATGCATTAATATTTGATTTTTGATACATCACGTTCAAACCATTTTCAGAAAATATCGGATTTTCTGGTGTTTACAAACCATTCAAAACTTTTCATTCAAATATGCTTATGAACTCACCAACATTATATATGTTGACGTTTTTCAAAATAACTTGTATTCTCATGGAATCGTTAAGGAGAAAAGTCAGCAGGAAATGGTGGAATTTGTTATATTTTGTTATCAACATACATTAAATATTTTGAACATGTAATTTATGATATTGTACTTGATGTAAACAATGTTGATTGCATTTGATATGCATGATGATGATGTTGTCTTGTTTCAATTATATACAATTGTGATGATATTACAAGATGAAGTCACGCGCAAGCCCCGGACGTTTCCGCCGTCTGGTTCGGGGGTGTGACAAAGTCCATTTTAGTGTCGATTCCGGTAACCGGTTGAGAGTTAGCTCAGAAGGTAACGCCAGAAGAAGAGGCGGACCTGCCGACGACTTGTTTTTGATACTCAATGTTCTTCCAGATCCGGTGTTGAAACATCACGATACGAACATTCTACTTGGTTCCCAGAGTGACGATACAAACATTTTGTACACGATGACAATGTTACAGTTTGTTCCCATGAGTTTCAAAAATGATGAATTTTACTATTTATGGGACCAACTATGAATAAAATTTTAACCATAGGGACCGTTTGTGTAATTTATAACAACTGGTTAACTAAGGAATGGTTAAAAACTAATGATAGTTGCTTAAATTGACATGTACAGTAAAAATTAGATGACTTATTGCACAAAAAAATTAATATAAATTGTCAAATCGGAACTAACCTAAAACTTCATTGTAGTACATGGCATTATCCCATATTTTAATGAAAGTTTGAGATGGCGATTGCAATTAAACAGTATTGGTCTTGAAATTTTAGTAAGAATTGAGGTATTGAAAATCAGTTAGCTTACGTCAAAGTCTCTTCATTTGAATATCTTACTTTTGAGTTTTGACAACGAGTTACACTTGTGACTTTAAGATGTACCCACTTAACCTCTTTTTTATTTTATAAAGCAAACTTGTAAACCATTAAAACCTTTAACTGGACATGATAATATATATTGAAGCGTGTTTTATATTTAAATATTCTTCTATTCTATTACATTAATAATTTAACAAAAGTTAATTTCCCATATGTAGATAAAAAAGCAACAACGCAAAAATATAATTTGCTCTCTAAGAAACATTAATAATCTTATTTAGACCAATTTTCTTTTTGTCAAAAATTGTTCCTCCTTTGACTTGTGATTGTCTCAAACTTTGATTACATGTGAATATCACTCCAAGCACCAAAACGACGTTGTTTTTGGGTTGACCATACAATATCAATATCAACATCAATAGTACGACTTCATGAAATGAAATGATAAAATGGAAATCTTGATCTGATTTCAATTCGGGGTCCATTTCAAAAAATTACACAAAAAGTCTACAGGTAATGATTACCAAAACTGTTAAACTGAGACTTCATGCATACTTTTTTTTTACAGCTAAAACTCCCAATCTGATCATAACAAAACAACCAAACTACTCCTAATCTGACCTTCACCCTGCTGCCGGAGCCTGATAATTGCAAAAGACGACCAAAACGGATGATTGGATACTGTAATAGAAATGGAAAACCAGAAGTTTAGTTTGATTCGAAAGTAAAAATAATGAAGAATTTTAACGAGATTAAACAGAGAGAATCAATTAATTATCGGAAAATTACCTTGAAAATGAGAGATTCAAGAGAAAACAGAAGAACCGCCGGAGAGGAAGAAATTCTTCTTGGAGATGTCCTTGAACAAAATCAACTGTTCCAGCGAGTAAATGCAGCAACCTTTGGAATACAATGCCGTCTGTGCCGAGGGAGAGTTAACTAGAACCTCCAACAGTTGTTGTCTGTTCAATTTCCCCAATCCGCCGTATTGATTCATCATCTGCCTAGGGTTTTCAGATCCGAGAGGTGAGGAGGAAGTAGAAGCAACAGGCATTGATTCAAGAGCAGAGATCTGAGCTTGCAGAAACTTAATGTACTTGTAGGTTTCTTCGTAGGTCGTAGCCGTGTCCATCTTCTTGTCCCATGGAAGCACCTTCTGTAAGGTCCGCGTCTTGTCGCTGAGCGTATTACGTCGCCTACGCGCCTTCTCTCGATTAGAAAACTTCGCCGGAGGAGGGATAGGAGGTTTTATCTGTCGCAGCGGCACCGGAGTGATGTAGTTTGGAGTTAACTGAAACTGCGACAATGTCGGCTCGAGCATGTGCGGATTGGTAGTAGTTGCTATTTGCGAATACGACTGTTTGAAATGCCTCTCGGCCGTTTGCCTCATTTGTTCCACTGATTGGAGCTCCGGTAACTGACCGAACATAATCGCCGGACTAAAGTTGAATTGCTCCATTGAAGGTTCATTTTTCACCCTTTTAGGTTTCTCCTCCCTCTCGACGCACCTCCATTTGCTCTTTTCCTTCGAAGATTCACCGATTTTCCTACTCTGAAGATTAGCGTCCGGTGTTGATGAACCGTACGGATAGTGCATCAACGAAAGCGATTTGTCGAAATTGAAAGACTGAAAACTCAGGTCTCTGTTGAAGTATGCCTCCTCGGAATTTGCAAGAGCTGAAAAATTATCATCACCGACTCCATATTTTCCGGCGAGTAGCAGGGATTGAAAACCTCCCTCCATAGCCTACCGGGGAGAGAGAGAGAGAGAGAGAGAGAGAGAGAGAGAGAGAGAGAGAGAGAGAGAGAGAGAGAGAGAGAGAGAGAGAGAGAGAGATTACGAAACGATATGCATGCTTGCAGCTGGCGTGTGAGGGGGCATATTTATATAAACACGAATTTATGGAATTAATCCCAAAAGATATCAATATGTTCAATTTAGTCACTTCTTTAAATTCTGTGACAACTCTAGTCTCATGGTAAAAAATGAATATTCACAAACTTTCACTCTTTTCGGTTTTGGTTAGAATCATCAATCATGAATGTAACTATCTCTAGCCTAGTTAACACTAAAATAATAAAATAAATAAAAAAAAAACTTTGATTTTCTTCTTTTAATATATATTTAACACTAAAGTATTTAATAATAATAATAATAATAATAATAATAAAACTCAACACTACTAGAAGTGCAGTAGCAACTATCAACTAACATTTCAAAATCTTTAAATCATATAGGAAACATGAAATTGAAAATATCATGTGGTCTACAAATAAATTACACATTTATTCACTTTAAAACATAAGATTTCGATTTCTTATAAATTAAATTGTTACTCTATCATAATTGAAGTATCAGGTTTTATCAATGCTTGTCAACGTTTGATTTTGACATTCTTTTAGGCATAATATTTCTTTCGTTCTTTTATAGTTTGGTTGTATTTGTTCATCCTCCATATTTTTCCTTTTAAGATTAAATTAAATAAATATTTATTATAAAATTTTATATTTAAACAATTAAAAATTGACTAGATAATAGAATAACAATTATTCTCAATATTCAAACCCATATTGTAAATTACTGATAATTATGATATATATTATAATTATAAAATAAATATTAACGTAGATTAAAGTATTGTTTTTTTTAAAGTGCATGTAGCTATTTGACACCACACAATAAGAAGATTCTCTATAGTTACAATAATAAGAATGTCTTAACTCTTAATACATCATTGAATTGATCGCTTCAAAAAATACTACAATCTCACCAAATTTCAGCGAAAATGGGCTATTTTGTCAAAAATCAATTTTGTGTAATTCTACAAAACACATTTGAAATTTTTTAAAATAAATGTTTCCATAACAAAGTAAAATATCCAATCCTAATCGATATACATAACATGTGGACATTCGACTATAGCCAATATATGTTAGAGAAGGAGGCTAAAGAATTTGGACAAAACGTTAGTTATAGTTTCGGTTTATTTTGGAAAACACTGAAATTCAGGTATCAGTTTTGCATATAATCATAAATAGTTAACAAGAGTATAAAATTTGTTACAACGGGGAATGTGTACGTGGCAAAACCGGATAGATTATAAGGGTATCTTCCTTGATTCATGTTATGCGGCGACCGGTGATTGGCTGTAATACGGATTCTGTTTACCGACAACTGGCTGTTGCCACTCCAGTCCTCTTTGTCTACTGTTTGTCTTATTTTTTGTTCAGGTGAACGGAAACAAAAAACAAAACTAGATAATACTTGCCAACTTTTTGTTAGAGCCGTTGGATTAAAATCGGACAGCTGGAGATCACTGCATGTGTGTTAGCACATGCGGCGGAGTTTGTCGGCTTGGTACAACAGATAGCTGCGTTAACGTTTTATGGCAGCTTACAAACGTACAAACAGTTTGTTCATTTACAGTTTTGCCCCATTTGGATAAGTAATGTTCTTATGATGAATTTGTGATACTCGATTCAATTATATTATTTGAATACTGGGGGTTGTAAAATACATTATATTAAATTACTTCAAAGGATGGAAAAAAATTGTATATTTTTAATTTTTTTGGAACCGGCAAAATTTTATTTTAAAAGACACTCACTAGCAAGAAACTAGTGAGGCCAAAGTGTACAATATAAATTACAAAAAAGAGAAGGGAGAATTAATCCAATCCTCCTATGAATTTTCCTTTTCCATGTCTATATTTAATCCAAGTATAGACCATGGATCTAACACCTTCAAACACCAAATATGGGCCGGAGAACTTTGAGTTGAAAATTCTATCATTTCTTGCTCTCCACATTCCCCACAATGCTCCGAAAATGATTGAGTTTAATGTTCGTATCTTTTTTGGGGGTTGTCCACACGCAGCCACGAAATTCAGAATCTCCTTGATACTAGAAAACTGAATTGGAACTATTCCACACCATTTCCATATCCGATTCCAGAGAGCATCTGCAAAAGGACAAGTAGCCAGCATATGGTCTGCTGTTTCATTTCTTGAGATACAAGCACTACATGTTACACCTTGGACCTGAACTCCTCGCATCAAAGGGCACATAGTAATGGGATGCGGTCGATCCTTGCTCGCCATACAAAGCAGATTACCCTGTTAGGTATCCATTTACTCCACGTGAAAGCTCCATTATAAATCAAATGGGCTGCCCAATCAATCCTTCTACGTAATGCCGCCACATGGAATTTATCATCAAGGGTGAAGTCAGAGTCCCATCTCATCTCCTCATGGTTTCGATGAATAATGTCAGATTCTGCAATGTTTAATTTCCACAGGGAATTTTTACATTTGTCTATATTTTTCCAAACACCACCTAGATACCTACCTGGATGCCATCCGAATTGGAGGGAAGGATCCCAGGTTGTGAATACCATTTATGACCTTCACCCATAACGAATTTTGCTCGTGAAAAAATTCCCATTTCCATTTTGCTAGCAATGCAAAGTTCATTGCCTTTATAGTTCCAAGGCCTAAACCACCGACCTCCTTAGGGGCAAGAATTCTATCCCAAGCAACCCATCGATTTTTTTGGTCATTTTCTGGACCTCCCCATATGAAGTTCCTCCTTATTTTCTCCAAAATCTCAATAACACCCGAAAGGGGCAGAAAATATTGACAGATAGAAGATGGGGAGGTTTCCGAGAACTGACTTTGCCAGAGTTACCCTCCCACCAAAGCTCAATGTCTTGGATTTCCAACCGGAGAGCTTGCTGTTGAATTTTTCGATTATTGGTTTTCAGGAGCTTTTTCGATTCATGTTTTCCCCCACAGGCATCCCTAGATATGTGAATGGCAGTGTACTCGGTTCACATCCAAGTGGTAATGCCCAATTTTCAACTTCCTGTGCATTAACACCTATGCCAAATACTTTGGATTTTCTGAAATTGACATTTAAGTCGGACGAAACATGAAAACATTTAAGTATCCTTGCAAGGTTTTTTATATTTTGTTTGGACCATTCACCAATGAAGAGGGCATCATCCGCGTAAAATAGATGCGATAGATTAATGAAGTGTATAATCATTTTAGTAATTTTACTTTCAACTTTTAAATAAAAATACATTGTATTGATGAAGTGTATTTTTATTTAAAAGTTGAAAGTAAAATTACTAAAATGATTAAAAAGGGTAGTGTAGTGGAGGGTATATTTGACATTTCTGGGTAAGGGTGCAAGTAAACACTAATGACGGAGCAGGGGATTGGCACGGGTGTTATCGTACTTCCGTACGGATACGATACACGTTTTCTTGTTCTGCCACTACAATTTTCATTTACATCCCTTGGTATTTTATATTTACCATATAACCCCTAACTTTAAGCGTCATGGAGATTCACTATTCAAGATTCAACTCTACAAAGTCTTTGTTTTGTTAATAGAAATTATTAAGGATTTTTTTTTTTAATATTTCAATTGACGGATATAACTATGTTTTTTTCTTTACTTTGTGTAAACATTTTCTTTGTTTTTAAATGGGTAATGAAATAGGTTTTTATAATTTGTGTTTTAAAGACTAAGCATGTAAATCAATACATGAACTTTTTCCGTGGGAGACAGTATCGATCATGTATATGAGATGATCGAATTGTGTCAAAATAATGGAGTTGGGTAAAGTCTAATCTTCAACTCCATTTAAAAAAAATTAAAAATAAATAAATAAAAACTACAAAACCTTTACCAATAACAAGGAAAACATTTAAAAAAATCATATTATCTACTGACTTCACAATTCACATTATGATATAACCAAAAAAGTTAACAATTCACAAGTTGAAACAATTTGGAATGCGAAAAAAAAATTCTCAACCAAATTGATAGGTTATAAAATAAGTATGAGGGTTATCACAATTCATAACAGAGAGTAGAGACCAAGTGTCAGTTACATAGTCTAACTATTTTGAACAAGTGTCTTCTAATGTAATATGTTGGACTTTAATAGTTTAGTGAGTAACATAAGGTTAACTAGGAAAATTTCATAAATACATATGCAAATCATAAAAGCTGCCATGCTTGTTCAAGAAGTTAACATTTGGTTTGAAGTTCCTATGGTTGTTGATTATTTTGATGGGGTTGTGCACGAGGATGTGGGACATAGTTTATATGAAGAAAGTTGCTCTTTAGCAATAAAATACTTTTTTTGAGCCGAGTATTTATGTTTGTGACAATTAAAAGATAAGAGGCAACGAAATGTTCGAATCAAGTTGTTTCTCTAGTGTATCTTCCGGGATTTACAAATTTAGAGATGCAAAAGTGTGTGTCAATAATATCATCCTCATCAAGACAAATATTGAACAAAGAATAACAATTATATGAGATTTTTTTTACACGAACTATTGCTACTGGAAGTTTTCAATGAAGGTCATCTATATTAATGCTCGTTATATCTGGGATGGTGATGGCGTGATTGCAACAATTGCTTATGTGGGGAACATTTTATTAGTTTGTTGGGTATTGAAGAAACTAATATGCATGTATCATGTATAGAAGGTGAACAGGGCATGTCCATAGGTTTTGTATGCCCTGGGCAAAGAAGCTTTATGATGCCCTTATTGCATTGAAAACATTGTAACATCCCAAGTTTTGTCATTTGTAGTCCCTGGGGATGGAAGGGTAAAGTCATGAAGAGCCTAAGGGCTAAATTGTAATTTTGGGATCAAGAGGAGTACGTTGTGCGTACATAAGGGTACGCTGAGCGTACTAGGGCGCGTCCTAGTACGCTGGGCG